GCCCTTTGTTAGGAGACATTTACATTTGTAAGGTAAATATCTGTAAAGGTGCCTCCCTCTCTGTACTAGGAAGAAGAAAGGAGATGACCTTATCTCTAGAAACTCTTAATCAATGGGGAAGGCAAGGACTTAAATCTGCATTTGTTTATTGTGCTTCTCTGGTAACCTCCTGTAACTGACTTCCCTCCCCCTCCAACGTTGGCATTTCCTTAAGGATTAAGCATCTTTCCTTAGGCTAGGAACTGATTGCTGTGCTCATCTGTGACCACCCAGCTTGAGACAATAGACTTGCCTCCTGTTACGCCCACCGAGATAGCAGACCCACTATCTGCTGTGTCCATCAAGTGCTGTGCGACAGGGCAATCTTGTGACTATTGTGGGAGGGACATTTCAATCCTATGTGAAACACCCTGTTTGGGGGTATATAACCACTCTGTGCACCCCACTTCTTTGGTGCCCTTTCTTCCTTCAGGAAGAAAGGCCCCAGGCCATGGTCCTCATAAAGCTTTGTTTAATTTTCTCCTGCTATTCTGTCTCATGTGAATTTAATTCGTTCTCTGGCCAGACAAACCCACATTCGGTAGAGGAAAACACTTCCACCCCTACAGAGTCAACCACCTCTTACAAATTTATTTTAAAACTGGTTCTTAAAGATTGTTTTTTACTACATTCGTAAGTTTTGAAGATCTGTGTGTTCACGTGTTGTACATCCTTCTTCAGAATTATAGTCTTTCCTAGGTGGTCTATGTATAAGTGGAATATATGTGTATCTTTCTCAAAAACTTGTAATGTTTCTAAATGGAATCATAATATAAATGTAACCAGCTCTAGTAATAATAGAAATCTAATTTATTCTGTTTATTCCATGTCACTCTCTCTGTGAGGAGGGAGGTTGATAGATCTTAGAAATTAAAGTTAAAACCATGAGCAAACCCTGAGAAGACCCAAGGGGAGTGGGTCAATTAGAGTTTGGAGGGGAAAAGGTCGCCTTGAGCAGGTGCACACTGGGTGCCACGGAGGAAGAATGAGCTGGGGAAAACATTGTAGTTGCAATCCTTTCACTTTCCCCTATTTATTTATTTTTTAAATCACTCTCTCAGAACTTTGTCTCTCTTACTTACCTCGGTAAAGAATCATTTTTTAAAATTTTATTCTTGGTTAATCATCCATTTTGTTTGTTTTATTCTCCTTGTCACTGATTTCTGTCTTTATTATTTTTATTCTTTCTTGTTTCTCTGTTCTCTACTCTGGATTCTTTTTCTAGTTTATCACATCGAATTCTTTATTAGTATGCAATCACTTTTTCCCTTCATAAATGAATTTAGAGTCATAAATTGTTCAGTGAATTCCACTTTAACAGTGTCCCGCAAATTCTGATAAATAGTATTTCCAGTTCTAAGAATTTAAAATTTCCCCTTTGATTTATTTATATAGTGAGTTATTTAACACTGTAGAGAGGATGTTAAAGTTAAACTTTTCCTGTCTCCAAGTCAACTGGGGCATTAAAGCTGAAAGCAACAGAGGCCAATCATACCTACAATATTACAATAATTCTTTAGGCCCTTTTCACAGACTGATTCTTAAATATTCCTAAGGGGAATGTAAATCTTTTAAGATCAAGTAAAGATGAAATTGCATATACACCCTGCAACACAGAAGAACACAGGCATAGGATGGTCACTGCATTTTAAATAATATATTATTAGAAATCAATTCAAAATGAAAAAGTAAGTTAGCACATATTTATATTGTAATATTCTATATCAAATAAAACAATTTAAAATCTACATATATCAATATGAATACATTTTTTAAATATGATGAAATGGCAAGTTATAAAAGTATATGCATTGATACAGGTGATGAAAAGTAAAAAGATAATATAATACAAAGCAGAAAAACAACCGATAGTATGTATTTTTATGATACTCTGTTTGTTTATGGATTGAAAGAAAGACCTAATGCAAAGAAAAATGTAAAACAATAACATGACATATCAGGGTGGTTGGCACATGAGCACCTTTAATATAATTTTTGTACTTATTTAGATTGGGGCGTATTTAATATATACTTCATTTTTAAATAAAAGTTTATTGTTATTTTTTATTTCAATCTCTTTTTTTAAAAGCAAAAAATGAGGCTGGCCTGGTGATGTAGCGGTTGGGTTCATGTGCTCCACTTCAGCGGCCTGGGGTTTACCTGTTCAGTTCCTGGGTGCAGACCTACACACCACTTATCAAGCCATGCTGTGGTGGCTTCCCACATAGAAGAACTAGGACTCACAAGTAGGATATACAAGTATGTACTGGGGCTTTTGGGAGGAAAACAAAAAAGAGGAAGATTGGCCACAGATGTTAGCTTAGGGCCAATCTTCCTCACCAAAAAGCATACCTTTAAAAAAAATTAAAATAAACGTTTAAAAAAGGCCTCGCAAAAAAATTAAAAATAAAAAATAGAAGCAAAACTACTGCTTTAAAATTAATTGTCAACTATAATTTCTTTTGGTTAAATTTGCAGTCATATATATATATATAATATGCATACTTTCTCTCCCTCTGCTGCAGAATTTTTCACTTTACAGATGCTAATAAAAAGGAAACTCAAATCTTTCCAGGGCAGTGGGGCTCCAGGAACCCCACCTTTGCAGTGGCCCTTTGGGAAGACAGTGTAGTACAGTGAAAAAATCATTGATTCAGAAGCCAAGCCAATCTCATTCACACCATGATTCCCACACTTGTTATATTGGGTGACCTAAGATGAATGTTTTAAACTCTATGAGTCTTAGTTTACTCATCTGTTAAGCAATAGTGAGTTTTAAAAGTGGTTGAAAGAATTAAAGATAAGTTAAGTACGATTCAAAGCAAGTAGAAGGTATTTTATCAATGCTAGCTATTATTGACATTAATGTATATTATATAGTTATATAATATATATGTTATACAATTATATTATTCCATAACTGCAATTACACCTGTTGGTATCAGAGATGAACTCTGAAGGAAATAAAGAGATGTTCTTACTAAGGAGTTAATGACACAATAAAATTTTTTTTAAAGAATTAATAGACAAATTAGGGCAAGGTAAAGTATTTGCTTTTTTAAAGTGACTTAAAATAACAATTTTATTATGCTCGTGTATTCTGTGAGTCAGGGATTCAGAGAGAGCCCACTTGTCTCTATTCCACAATGTCTGGAGATTCAGCTGGAAAGACTCAAAGGCTAGAGGTAAATGTTTGAATGTTACTTTGTTTGTTTTCCACGTGATCTGGTAGAAAAATTTTTTAAAAAGAGTCAGCTGCTCTAGTGCATTTAAGACCTAAGGTAGAATAAAAGACCAGGAAAACTGATAACTGCCCACAAAAGATCAATCAAAAATTAAGAGAAATCCCGGAAAGGATGATATAACCCAAATAAAAAGTAAGAGTTGATTTTTGATATAAGGTTTTAAGAATTTGGCTATTATACAAAGTGGTACATTTATTTGTGGCTCTTGGGAAGAATATTCACTATCTTAGAAACAGTCACTTCACACATCATGATATATACATTAAAATACTATATATAGAGAAGACAGAGCATAGGAAATGAGATTGAAACCACACTACCACACTCTACTTTTTGGAAACAGCCTGTATATAAGAACAACTAAAACACTCATCTGGTTTGTCTAGGCTTAATTCCTATTTCTGTGGCTAATTAAACCTCTAATTTTCAAACAAATCTGCCCAGAGCTAGAAGGTCACGTTTTTTAGCCATCAATGGATGGCTGACTCACCCTGGTTCACAAGCCTCAATTCCATATGAAAAAGAAGTAGAAGAACACCCTGAATTGCAAGCAATCAAAATGCCATCAGAAACTAACAACACGGTTTAATTAAAAAGGAACATCCATAGTAATTCACTTTTTCTTTTCCACTCTTCACACAACAAATAGGAGGCAGTACAGAGAAGTAATTAAAATGAAGTCGCCTTTTGCCCTTGGGCTGTCTGAGTAGAACCTTTACCAATGAAACAATTAGCTTCAGCTTTCTCATTTTTCTCCCCTTTGTCATGCTGAAATTGCTTCCGGTTTTCCTTTAGAAACAATGCATTGTCTTGCCTCTTCAGTTAACCCTAGGCTTCTCAGAATCTTAGTAATTTCATTATTTTGTTAAAATGGTAGCATGGTTACAAGGCCATTGTCCCTATTTGATTAGCACGTTGGATAGGACTAGAAACCAGTCTAACTGGAAGAGTTGCAATGAACTTGTATAATCTCTGACATGGGTTGACTGACCTGAAGTCACACAGTAGGTACAAATGAGTGTGTCCATGACCACATACTGCCCTAGAACCTGCTCCTGCAAGGAGGGATGACCGGAGGGCAGAGTCAGTGGACACAAATGTATCAACACTGTTATAAAGCTCCAACATTCATCCTACTTTCTGACCATCAGATCTATTATTCTGATCTATGAGCACATGCTGCACTGTCTACCCAGAGAGACTGAAACCACACATGAGCAACACTCCATTTCAGCCAACAAAACCACTTGGCTATATTACACAGAGCATACATCCACAGGCTCAGGACTGGAGACAAATGAAAGAGAGCTATAACAGCAAGTCAAAATGTTCACACAGATGAAAAACTATACTTCACTTCCAAACTATTCATGATCACTCTTAAGCATGTCTTCATGATGTGGCAAACACTGGGACATCTGGTAAACACTGGTTTCCAGTAAAGCAAACACTGGTGAGGTTGAAAGTATTTATAGATCCACATGCAAGGGCTCCGTGTGGCTTAGGAGCAAGAGAAATGGAAAGTGAAGCTCCATCGGGAGCTTGGGGTGGATAAAAGTGAGCAAGGTGAATAAAATGTCAAACCACAGGATGACACAGCTTGAGACAGCAGAAGCACCACTGAAAGGGCAATCCCTCCCTTTGGTGAGGACCCCACATCCTCTCCCAGCAACCACAGAGGCACTCAGCAAAAGAACAGAGAGAGAGAGCTCTTACTGTAGCACACGGGAGTGGCTGAGATCTTTCAAGTCTGAGTCCTCATAATGCGGAGTTATCATTCCCAGCCCACTATCACTCAGCATGCGTTTCCTCAGGGCAGGATTCCACCAGTCTGACATTCTGGGAGAAAGAAGGGCATCAGACATTTAAGCATTCAAAGTCAGCCACAGGACTTATTCTACTCTTTCTAAAGATGATTCTTGTCTCTAAATGTGAGAAGGCAAATGAATCTTTATTAGGTATTTACTAGGTACTTCACATTTATTATTTCATTTCATTTTCTCAACCATCATGAACTGTTTGTATGATTCTGACCTCTTTACAGAGGAGAAAACTGAATTTGAAGACGAAGTAATTTTATATATGACTTTAATAAATAAGAAGTAATGGAGCCTGATGTAGAAACGCAGATTAGAAAATAACAAAGTCCGTCCCCTTCCACTGCTTCCCTGTTCCTAACTTATTTCTAGAGAAGGCAACTAATAAGAAATAAGAAAGGGACTTATTCAAATTCTAGTGGATTTTCAAGCTACTTTATTTTTGGAACTAAAGCTAACAGAGGTCTAACCTAGGACAAAGTCATTTCTTTTTTTTTTTTTTTTTTTTTTAAAGATTTTATTTTTCTCCTTTTTTCTCCCCAAAGCCCCCCGGTACATAGTTGTATATTTCGTTGTGGGTCCTTCTAGTTGTGGCATGTGGGACGCTGCCTCAGCGTGGTCTGATGAGCAGTGCCATGTCCGCACCCAGGATTCGAACCAACGAAACACTGGGCCGCCTGCAGCGGAGCGCGCGAACTTAACCACTCGGCCACGGGGCCAGCCCACAAAGTCATTTCTTTTGACCGTTATTTGACATAGAAGAATGACTGAGGCTGAGAGGGCGAAGCCCAGGGCAAGCTTGGCAGAACGGGTCCACTCTTTATCAGACCAAGGACCGGAGCCCAGATCAGGTGGAATGAGAGAACACCTAGACTTTAGTACCTACAGCTTCCGCGTAGGACACAGCACCTCACTTGCTCTCTCCACTACTGACAGGCTTCATTTATGGTACATCGTCTGCAAAGATGGCCTTCTCCAACCCCTCCTGGGACTCCCCAGGTTACCTCAGGACACCCTTTGTCCCTCTCAGCTTTCTCTTCATGCCAAGACTGTCTGCTATCACTAGCTCTGGCTTCCCACACACAGCTATGTATCTGTTCCATCCAGCCACTCTGTCTTCTCTTGACTCCCCCACAGACTTGATACATACCATGGATATCAGCTGGCCCTGGCAGAGTGGGAGATATTCAGAAATAGCAGCAATGGTCAAAAGAATTAGTGAAGCGGGGTAAACAGGCATGAGGGTCACCTCCAGTGAACATGTCTGTTTACAATGGGTAAGTATGTGTACACAATTTGCATATGCTGCTTGTGTGAATGTGTGTGTGCTCTCCAGGAAAATGCTTATTTTAACTATTTAGTCTCCATATACTGGGAAACCACAGATGTTCACTAGATTTCACAAGGGCGGAGATTCTTGTCTGTTTTTATTTTTGCACTGCTGTTTCTCAAGGGTTTATACTAGTACCTGGCACATAAAAAGCTCTCTAAATACATATTTTTGAATTGCTGAAATAACCTAGAAATAGTAATTATATTTTAGTGGTTCAACGTAATGGCTAAATGCATGGCGTAAAGTATCAGAAAACATAGGACTGAATCTCTATTTTTCCATTTATTTTCTGTGCAATACTGGGAAACTTACAAAGCCCCCTAAGCCTCATTTTTCTATCTACAGATTTAGGATTATAATAGTAGCAAATATGAAGGGTCATCCTGAAAAGATGGTGGTTATAATTATTTCAATGACATGATTTAATGAGTGTCTACCAAGTGCCAAAAACTATTCTTAATATTTTACATGTATTAATTCATTTAATCTTCACACAATTCTATGAGTAGGTATTATTATTTCCATTTTACAGATGAGGAAATAAACAGAGAGCACTTAACATGATTAAGTCACTGTGAAATGGTAGTAGGAATAAAGAAAGACATTGAACACAGTATGTGGCATACTGTACCACAAAACAAAAACACTAGATTGTGAATCTAGTAATAGAAACTCAAAATTTCTTATTAACTGAGAAAGTATGCAAGAACTACTAACTCACGCCCCCATGCCTAACAGTATGGTTTTCTCAAACTTTTAAAGGATTTGAGTTATCCGTTGGTCTCTTGAAATGTAAGATATGGCGGAGGGCACCCGTGTAATCACATAAGTGCTCGATATATCATAGTTATTATTAGACAATCTATATGTCTCAGGCTACCTGGATATAGAAGAAGAAAGGAGAAGAAGAAAGGAGAAGGAGAAGAAGGAAGGAGACAATCTATAGTGTCTATAGATAATCTATATGTCTCAGGCTACCTGGATATAGAAGAAGAAAGGAGGAGGGGGGGAAGGGGAGGGGGGGGGAGGAAGGGGGAGGAGGAGGAGAAGAAGAAGAAGGAGGAGGAGAAGAAGAAGAAGGAAGAGGAGCAGGAGGAGAAGAGAAGGAAGAAGAGAAAGGAGAAGGAGAAAAGTAATTGTCAAACCACCGGTGTCCATTTTTATTTGGATAATACAGGCATTATAGATGCATAGGCACAAATGCAAATACCAGAGCTTTCTAGTTTGGTAGGAAGTGTGGGTGTGATGGGTAAAGAAAGCTCAGATGTGATTCAAACCTGAGTGGGAAAGAGTAATTCTACACCGCCATTTGTAAGACAGACTTTTAATGGAACCAGCTATACCATACTCTAAAGAAACACAACAAGAAAACCTGTATTTTAAAATAGGTTGATAGAATGTAAAGTCTAAAGCCAAACCAGACGTGGATGTTACCCTGTGGCCAGCCTCCCTAACAGACCACCAAAGGAGAAGCACACTCACCCCGAGGCTTGCTCCACCACCAGATCAGGCATTCCCGGAGGTGTCCCTGCTTGCTGTGACAATACCATATCTGGGTCCAGAATAAAAATCTCATCTTGGGAAATCTCCATCACAAAGTGCAAATGTTCCTACAGAAGAGAAAGAAGTTTGTCAGATGATTAACAGGATGCTCAAATCCATCATCTGAAGAAAAACAAAACAAAGCATTCTTGGTCTTGAGGAACAATAAAATTCTGTGACATACCAAATGACCACAGTGTGCATCATATGCCAGACCAATGGACATCCCTCCCTGAAGCAACATTGTAGCAAGAAGCTGGTGAGGGGGCAGTTGAATCCCTCTTGGTTTGGGATTCCTAGTTGACCCGAATCTTGTTGGGTATAACCAGAAATGGTCTTGCCTCTTCTCCTTCCCAAATACTATCAAAGAAGTGAAACCCTACATGCAACTTGGTCCAGCATGAGTGTATGATAACCTGGATGTCCACTCCCCTGATCTGGTCAAAGCTAAGTGGCATGGTTAACAACGGGTTGTATCACTGGATTCCATACTGTACCTTTTGTTTTCTCAGGAGAATTCGGACTGTGGAAACACTTGTTATCATTGGGCAAGAGCTTTTTTTTTGCTCATTACTGAACTCTGGAAAATGATGAATTGAAATGAAGTAGCCTAGATATACTCTTGAGGACTCAGACTTGCTAACCAGAAACGAACTTAAAAGGGCATAATATTCGGTAAATAAGCAGTAGAAGGAACAGTGTGAATGAAAATTTGGAGCGCAGGCCAGTAATAATATTTATAGCCTAGTTATTTTCTGTACTCATTTGCAAGGTCAAGCCCTATCATCTTGAGTCCACAAATCACAAAACATGTGAAGACAAATTAAAAGCTCATAGCTTAGGCTATGAGTACCATTCCAAAATCTGTAAATGTTTCAGTGTTTTTGTTAGAAAAATTTGTAAGATTAGCCTCTAATAAAATATATTTACTCAGGAATTTTTCACTTTCACAAGCAGGCTCAAGAAAACTTACCTGAGATCTGTCTATTCGATAAAAGCGATCAGCAGAAGTTGCTAGGAGAAAAAAAAATGTATATGGCATTCAGAGTGTCCCATGATGTGGCACCAAATTTACAAACTTCTCTCCTACATTGTCAATCAAAACCCTTACATTCCAGTCATGTGGACTACTGGCCAGTCCCTAAGTCTATCAAGAAAAACTCAGGACTTCCATGCCTCTGCTGATGCTATCCCACTGCTTAGCGAGCACTTCCTCATTACATCTGCATATCTAAACCTTACTTGTCTTTTAAGGACCAAGTCGAATGCTACCTCCTCTGTGAAAGCTTCTTCAGTCTCGTTCTCCCTATCCCAGACAGAATTTGTTGCTCCTACTTCTAGGCACAGTTATACTTTGTTTACACTTCTCATAGAAACTATCTTCACAGATAACTACGAGACAAAGATATCTGCCTGTTTAAAGGTCTGTGTTTCATTTATTCTTTTATGTGTGCAGGTATTAGCACAAGACCTTAAACAGAGCTGGGATTCAAAGGTATTTATTAAGTAAGTAAAGATAGAAAAACCTGCAGTCGGCCAGACTTCCTGAGGAAGTGATTCTCATTTTGGAAAAGAGCTTGAAGATGCAGAGCCAGGGACCACATCTGGTCTTAAAAGAATTATTTTACTTTAAAACTGAGTCCCTAAGCCATGTCTGAAGAAAGCCAAAGCAGCAAAAAATATATATATTATTTAAGCATTCCTAAAACGGATTAGGTTGCATCTGTGGGTTGAGGAAAAAAAAAATCTTAATTACAAACTTTGGGTTTCTAGAAATTATTCTGATTATTCTTAATATTGAAAAGAATTGCATTCCTCCTCACTTGAATCTATCTAACAGAGTCCAAATATTATAAACAGATTTTCTACAAAGTACTTAGTACTAGAGGGAAAAACTCAAAATGCAAATAATCATTCAAAAATCATAAATATTTAATGAGTAGCTTCTCTTCAAAGGAAAACAAGCTAAGAAATAAGACAATCATGGTCCCTGCCCTCCAAAAGAAATAGGAGAGTAAAATCTGGCTGAGAAGGACTTACTCTGCTTTGTTCTTTTTAACCCTGACTGCAATCACCTTTTAAAGCTTTTCAATGAAACTATTTATACAGTAAACCTAATATCTGGGTTAAGACCATTATCCACACTTGTAATTTTATCTAAGACCATATAGAGAACAGACTGTATATAGAATAATTCATATACGTTTTCATAATTTTCTTAAATATAAGCTGTGCCTCCTGGATTCAGGAAAAACAAATTATTGCATGTCTCGTCACTAGGGAATAAAGGAGCTGGAGGAAAAGTGTAAATTATCTTCAGAGGCAATTGACAAGCCATAAATGAAAACTGATGTCAAGATTTATGTGATTTAGATTTAGATCTCATATAGATACAAGTGCTCACTTTCACAATACTGTTCACACTCACATCGTGTCATACTCAATTCCACATTTATATCCTCTTAGATGCACACACAGATAAACAAAAGAAAGATCTACACTGAAAACCACGTTTCCACATAGACAAGAAAGATATTGGGAGGTAGATACACTGGTGGCACATAAGCAGGAATGTATTGCAACATGGGTAATTGATAGCAAAGTAGGATTAGACAGCATCTAGGGAGTGAGAGATGCTTAAGATGAAAAATGGACTCGTTGATAATCAAAAACTAACTGACACTATGCATTCAATATGTCATGTTCAGCAAAGCAGATTTGAATGCAACTGAAATTTCTACCCTTTTACAAAAATTTATACATCATATTGAAATGATGTTTAATGAAAATAATATGAAAGTTCCATAATTTGCAAACAACATACAAATTAGTACCCATCTCATGCTTACTGAATCCATCTACTGGTCTGAATTTAAGATAGGCACTCAACACACTTTAGGAAAATGGGGGCACTGAAAAGGAGACGTCTGCTTGAGCAATTTGATGCTGAGAAGTTCAGCCTGAGTTAACCAAGTTGCTTTGAGGAAAATGTCTTCAGGAAAGTGTGTTGCAATATCAGCAAGTCCACATTGTTTGAGATGGAAATACCGATCGTGGAGCCATGTGAAGGGTTTCTGAATAATCTTTTGGAAAACTAGAGTCTACTCTTATTAATCAATGCCTTGCCCTGTTGCTTCCCCAATCCCCACCCCTCCATGAAATACAGAAACACTCACCATCTAGAAAGCACCACCGTGGGGAGAGCCTCTGGGCTGAGAGAGCCCTGGGGAAGGAGGTTTCATGGTCCTGGAAAGAGACACCACACACCCTCATGGCTCCATCTGAATTACCTGAGGGGAACCCTTCACGCCACATGCTGCCATATCATCTATAGCTAAGAGTGAACAAACCTTCCCAAACAAGGCATAGTGAGAGACCAAATCACAATTTTTACTAGAAACAGAAACAGGGACTCTGCTTTGAAATGAATTATTTCACACAGAATCATTAAAACAACTCCCACATTAAATTTCCAGAAGGTTTTCAATTATTTCATTAAACATTCATAAATTATATAATTTAGGACATTTAGTTCCTTTGGGGGAATTTCTTTCCCTCTGTGAAGCTGAGAAACTAGTGGCAGCTGACTGTTATTTACATTTGAGCTCTCCACATAGGTATAAACATTTCCCCTACTAAGAGATGATAATTTAAAAAAATAATAAAAAGCACATTCTAGTTTACAACACATGATTTGGAGCACTCTAGCCCTGGCTCATAGTGAGATTGAAATCACTGACAGAAATGGAACAAATGAGGAGGCAGGCCAGGTCTCTGTGGGGAAGACACTGAAATAGGGAGCATCCTTGGGGGGCAGCTGGGTGTGGGTGACCTTGTGTATACAGAGGGGGACAGGACAAGGAAATGGGAATAACATAGAAGTAATAAGAGAGCCAATCAGAGTTTGCATTGACTTCTTTGGGGGTTTAACCTGCCTCACTTGATCCTCAGGCAAAGCTGATGCTTAAATCAATGATCCTCAAAGTATGAACTTTGGAGCAGTGGCAATAGCCGGGAACTAGTTGGAAATACAAATTCCCAGGTGCCACCCCAGGTCTACAGAAACCTGGGAGTGGGCCCAGCAATCTTTCAGTTGAGTCTGGTATATGCTAAAGTTTTAGAACCATCAGACTGAAGTTACTAGGACAAAAAGGATCCATTATTAGAAATCCTGGGTATATGGAGCTTTTAACATGAATCGATTCTGCAAATCAAATAATTGATAGGGAAAAAATTGGTCTCACTCAGGCCTGGCACCAAAATTTATATTTATAGATATAGACTTGTTATAGCAATGGATACAGAGATAAATATACATTCCTCTTTTGAACTGGCTTTCTCATCCTGCTGCTTGCACTAAATGAAATCGTGACATATGCTCAGTACCTATTTATATGAGAATCACGTTTAACATTTTGAACATTATATTTTGACACATACGATACCTTGTTTTAAAGGAACTTAAGCTTCTTAATGTATTTGTATAAAGCGTAAAGATATCAACGTGTCTCAGTTTGGTGAGAAACGTAATTTATACCAAGATTTATATCAAGAAATTTGAAAGTGATTTCAAATATTTACTGGCAACTATGAAAGCTAATAAATAAAGATATTAAACAGAAACATTGCTGTCTTCTCTCGAAATAAAGAGGCTTAGACACCAAGGATACTTTCTGAATTTTGGTGTCAAATGTGCTACAGAGACCATTACAAAAAAAAATCCAAATTTCTCCAGCTAAAAATCAACTCTGAAAGAATACAGAAATGCTTATCATTTTAAAAACCTAAAGATTAATAATGTTATTGATAGAATATTCAAATTAGAGAATATTGGACATTCTTTAGTCTAGTTTAACACAAGGCAAATTGATATACTGACTTGGCCACATGACAAGCTTACCATCGGCTGGTAAAGTAATATTGATATAACTGTACACCGTTTCATGTGCAAAAGTCTGTGTATCTGGAGAGTTTTATGCATGTGCCTGACTTTATTCATTTATTTTGCTTATTTTCTGTTCATTTATTTAGTCTACACCTTGATCCACAATGCACTTGATATACCACAATTTCCTTAAACAACTTTTCTCTAAAGAGAATGTTACATTTGCTCTGTGGAAAAGTAATTTGCCATAGAACTCAATAAAATACTTCAAATAGGTTCAAAGGGGTCTTCAGACAGGTTCAACAATCCTTGAACTCCCTGAAATTTTATGCCAAATTTGGTGTGTCCATGTGTATGTGCATTTTCTCCTGTTTTCTGTAGATATCAAAGTGATCCAAGATCCCCCAAAAGGTTAAAAAGCTAATTCAAGTAATCAAAAATTTAGGCCAGAGGGAATTCAACAAAATAAGAAGATTCTAATCAGCAAAATGCCTTAACAACATCCAGACTTACAAGAATAGGAATTACTATTTCAAAGTTACTGGTGATTGTAGAGTCAAGCAGCTGAAGCTCTCTGGGCTTACGGCTATTCTCTTGGCAGTGGACAGAAATCAGGCCAATTTCTACAGAGAAGGACTCAATGAACTTTTTGCTTATTTCCACCCACTGTCCCTCCCAAACGCTTGTTTCCAGCCCTTTATATAAAGTTTATCTACTTATATTTATTTTTTTTAAAAAACAGAGGAGAAAACGTGTTTATTTTGAATATTGGATTGCTTTAATAAGTAAGTTAAACAATACTTCACTAATTAAAGACACAGGAATTTCATGAAAAAAAATTTATTGAAAAATAATTGGATACTTTCCGAAAGGTTAAACTACAATCTGAGGAGGTGGTTAGAGAAACCAAGTAGAAGCCTAAATTCTCTGAAATAGCTTCCCTGAACTAGCTTTGCATCCTTCTCCCTCCTTTTTTCAAGCTCTTTCAACCCGGTTCATAAAAAAAAAAAGTGAGCTCTTAAGGGGACAGTTATTAATATAATGAGGTCCTATGTTAACAGACATTTGAATTCCAGAGGAAAAATGTAATTTACATGTATCCAATCTGGGAAAGATTTATAATGCAATGTAATTAAACTACTCACTTAAAAATTTTACATATCAAAGATATACAAAAGCAATGAAGTCTCAACAAAATTTTCTGCCTGGCTCTAATCTAGTCCATACATATATATGCAGATGAAAGGATCTCACCTGCATTAGAAGCCTAAAAGTTGGAGATTTTCCTGAAATCAGTGTTAAATGATGTTTCAGTGCAGCAGACTGACACGATTGTAAAACACACCCACAAAATATACCAAAAATCTATAAAATAAGAAACAAGAAACAAACCCAGCTACTAAGCACAGCCGGGTACCAGGACTACATGTAAAAGATCTGAGGGGGAACAGGAGGTGAACAACAGCCTGGGGACAGGAAATCTGCTGGTGGTTGAGGTTGTGGTTGTATTTCACTTGAGCTGAAAAACTGAGCAAAAAGTTACTTTTAGTGACAAAGTCTGCTTTGGAATATGAAATTTTTGTAGGATGAGGTCATCAGACTACGCAGTGAGATAACAAAAATGTTTCTGTCCTTGAAGTATTTCAATATCATTGGAGAGGTAGACCTATGAATGGGAAGGACAACAACACCACAGGTTGTGTATGATCCCCCCCCCCCCGCCTTTAAATAGCAAGCCCAGAGGTGGTGGGATTCTGACGGCCAAGAGCACCAGCCATCAGAACACATGACAATCCCAGCTCCACTACCTACTAACTGTGAGGTTTTTAGGCAAATTTATTATCTATTCTGCGCCTTGGAGTCCTCATTTATAAAATGGCTACCACACTATCTATTATCAAGGATTCTTTTGAGGAATAAATGAAATAACATGTGAAATGCTTAACTCATTGGCTGGTACATGTTGATACGCAGATACAGTCAAGCTAGAGGAGGAATGAATGCTGGGCCAGCTGGGACAAAATTCTTTTACCCGAAACAACTATGACCTTTAATCATGTGAGGTGCTCACGGGACATAGGTCACATTTCACACCAGATCATTTAGATGGTGCTACACCAGCATAACACTATTTTTTTTTTATTAAGGTTATGATAGTTAACAACCTTGTGAAATTATAGTTGTACATCATTATTAGTCATGTTGTAGGTACACCACTTCACCCCTAGTGCCCTCTCACCACCCCCCTTTCCCCTGGTAACCACCAATCAGTTCTCTTTGTCCATATGTTAACTACCACCTATGAGTGGAGTCATACAGAGTTCGTCTTTCTCTGTAGCATAACACTATTTTATCCATAAATGCATGTATGCTCAGAATCTGGGTTTCAGAGAAAAGAAATAGGACAGATTGTATGAGTGGACACAATAAAGAATGACATCAAACAAACGCTGATGGTTGTTGGTTTGGTGCTTGTAGGGTTCGTCTTAATCAGTAGTTTGGTGCCTCTTTTCACAGTATTAGAAGCTCCATAATTGTCTTAAATACAAGGTATTGTCTTCAAGGCTGGACGTTCTCTATCACCAAGGGTAATATTTTTCAGAACACTTTATTTCACTGCCCTCTCCATTCCTCATTCAATAATAACCATGCTTCCTAGATATTTAGTTTCACCAAAATTATCTTTTCATTTGCTGATTTGTCAGTTGTCACACAGTTTACATTATTCTTATTCCTGTGACACAATTATCTCTTCTCAATGTGTATTTATTAGAGCAAATGAAGCGTAAGGCATGAGACTGGAAGGTCACAAAGACCTTCTGTATATATCCTAAATGTCTATCCAGGGATAGGGTTAAATATATACCATGGAATAGAGTGGCAGTTTTAAAAGATTAAGTTAGAGCTTCATTTATTAGCAAGACATAAGATCTGTGGTATAGTACTGTCAAAAATAAATTGTGGGGACTGGCATAGTGGTTAAGTTCACATGCTCCACTTTGGTGGCCCGAGGTTTGCCAGTTGGGATCCCAGGTGCAGACCTACACACCACATCAAGTCATGCTGTGGCAGAGTCCCACATATAAAGTAGAAGAATATTGGCACAGATGTTAGCTCACGGCCAATTTCCTCACCAAAAAATAAACAAATAAATAAATTGTGGTACAATACGTACAGCAAGTGCATAAAAAATTTAAATCCATTTTTGTTTTCAAAAACCAACAAAACCTCAAATGTGTGTGCATGTATGTCCATGTATGTACCTTTGTATAGATGTGGATAAAGGTATAAAAGGGTGCACACTGGAAGGATGCTGTCCTAAGGTCTACTTTGGGTGGGGAGTTAAAAACTAAGCAGAAGT